GATGAGTTGGAATAGTACTCGGCTGTTTGCAATAGCACTAGCTTTCTCTATCTCAAGGGGACTTTCAAACCCACCAATGTTCTCGGTCAAATCTAAGATCCTTTGTCAGACGCCGTTACAGTGAGTTACGGTAACGCTGATACTCAGTGCCCATCGGAACCCGTTTACGAGTTTCGATCAAACTAATCGGTGCCTTAAAGACCCATTCAAATTTACGACGTCTCAAGTCAGGTGCACAGCAAGCAACAAATGCATTTTCATGGCACACTTGAGACGATCCCGGTCAGCGCGCGGCTAACCAACCTTGTTCATCATTGACAATTGGTGGGCCAGTTCGTCATGACATTGTTGAAACGCAGACTGCGAGTTCAAGTAACAGGTAAGAAAGGTAGAAGATAGGCGCTTCTTTGAAGTGGGAAGAGTGAGGACCAACCGTGCGCGCACTAGAACATGGTCGGAATCCAGGCATGTGCTCCAAATTGACCGACAGTATTGGACTGACGTGCACCACTTGTAGCTCCTGGCAATATGGTCAATTTGAGTCCAGGTCACTGGAGAAATCGGTGGGCGCCAGATGACGCGGTGTGAACGTTTGTGCTAGTAAGCAGTGCTGCCAAGCTAAAGATTGTGGTCCGCGTACAGTTGAAGGAATCGAGCGGTATTGTCAGTTTGGCGTGCATCGACTCCGAAGTGCCCTCCCAGGTGCTGTTCAGATTTTGAAAAACGACCCACTTGGGCATTCAAGTAACCGGCAACAATCACGATATCAGTATTCTTCGCTATGCGGATAAGAGATGAAAGAGGATAGTAGGAATCATCTTTGGTACCCTCCGAACTGCAGTCAGTAGAAGTGTAAACGGAGGTGATGAAAAGGCACCTTGTTTTCATATGGTGCTTAGTAACTAAAGTAGAGGTTCGAAGTAGAACCGCACACATTCGGCTGTTCATCGGTATCCAGCTGAGTAGAACCTTTCGCACGTCTGCTGAGGGCGATACCAACACCGTGAATATCTTGAGTCATTGACTCGGTATCACCAGAGACACGAAGAGTGTAATCATTGTCGTCAGATTCAGAACCAGGGAATTGAAGATTCATCACAACGCTGTTATCTTGTGTTATAACTGCCCCTTGGTTACGCCACGCTCTGACGATCTGGTATTAACTCTCCTAGTCGGCCGAACGAATGTGGCTTGGAACTACTTCACGAACAACAATATTTGAAGTTGTACGACCCGTGAGAGTTAGGCGCAATACGGTTACTAAGCGTGAGTGCGAGTACATTGGCCAAGACCATCCTGGAACACTTGAGCGAACTGTCTGGTGATGTCGTCGGTTTGGTCAATTGGTATGGCCTGAGATCGTACGGCGCTGCAAATGGCCTGAAGTGGTAAATCGGCCAAGTCAAAGTGTTCGAGCTAATCGAGACCAAGCAAGTTGAGCTTCGCCCTTGTGATGTAGCAGATCTCGTCGAATGTGATTCCTCGAAAGGAGACTGAGCACTGTAGCTGCCCAATTATCTGCACGCGGCCACCCCAGGCGCTGGTGGCGGATTGAAGGGCTGAGTCGAGTGGTGGCTTGCTAAGAGATCGCGATGTCCGAAGCAGTGTCCAACTGCAATCGAACAGGCTGCCCATTGATCAAGACGTCGACAAACTTCCTGCGATCAGCGTTGAGTTGGAAGGTGACGGACAAGCTCATGGAGCTGTCAACCGGACCAGTTTTAGGCTTACGTCTGGATCATGACCTTTTCGTTTGACTGCGGGTGGGGGCCAGGAAAGGGTTAACCCCCTTGGATTGTGCAGAGTTGCATGTTGGGGCTAGCCTAGGTTTGACCCCCTTTGTGCGTTGTAGGATTGCATTAGCCATCACGGTGTCCCACCCTGCCACAATGCTGGCATCGGTGCTGGCGTAAGTTGCAGTCTCAGTGGAAGTGCCAGGCACCGCAGAATCGGCAAGGATAGGGTGGGGACTTCACTCGGTCGCTTTGGGTAGGCCGCCCAAAAGCTTGCGGAATTTATGCTGCGACTTCTTGGAATAGACCAGGTACGGGAGAATTCTGGATCATCGCGGAGTTATGTTTTAGATTGATCAGCATTTGACACTCCTCGACCAAGTTCTGGAGTGTGATCGTGTTGTCCTGCTGCAACTTGGACAGAAGGCGCGTTCGGATGTCGGCATCGTGGCCGGATTGGAGGCCAGAAATGAAAACCAGGCACTTGAACTGGCTCTCTGTGAGGGAACCAAGTTGGAATCGTTCGCATTCCCGATTGACGATGCCCGCATAGGTGAAGAAATTACCAGCATCCCTCTTGGCCGGCTGCAGACATTGGAACCGGGTGTTGAACAGCGAGGACTGTTTGCCAAAAATCTGCGACAACCTGCGGACCGTCTCGACAAAGGTAAGGTCGCGGGGGTTCTTTGGCAAGATGAAGTTGGTATACCGTTGGTGCTCGACCGTGCCCAGTTTGCGCAGAAGCAGTCGGACCTTCCACACGTCATCCTGACAAGCTAGGTCAACGGTGAATAGACAGTCGTATTGTTTATACCAAGAATCGAAGGTGACATGAGCGCCAGGATCGTACAGGAACCCCGAGATTCTACTAGCGATATTGTCAACCGATTGTGAGTTTGCGGCGAAACTTGACTGAATAGAAGAACTGGAAAGACAGATAATAAATTGTGCTGTTGTTGAAGCAGCGACTTAAAATCATTGCACGCAATCTCCATGGTTCGAAGTAACTCGTCGCCACTTGTCTGAATCGAGTCTCATTGCCTTCTGTGGTTTAAGCTTATAATCATTATGGAGATGTTGGGTTCCCATAACATCCCCCTTCAAGTTTGAACATACCGTTTTAGTTGCGGGTCGATCTGCAGTCTTTCGGTCCTTCGACGGATGCACTCCGACCTGCAGTGAGGACCAATTGGGTTTGTTGTAGGCTGTGCGGCTCACATAGGCCCCGGTTGTTGTGCAGCGATCCCGAAAGTATCCAATAGCACGTGTAGCGGTATTCGTTCACTCGACTTGGATTGTTCATTGAGCGTTCCGCGTCGCGCTCGAAGATGGTTTTGAGTCGTAACCGCTTCTGACGATCAACACACACCGCGGTCTCCTCCAGTACACCAGACTGCCGTTTGGTGTCAAGACTGCCCCAGCCATTTTCTAACAGATGATGGACGCCATGATCTATGGCATTCCAGGTACGCCGCGTACCTACATGATCTCTTCATTATTGGTCGCACCCCAGAAGAACTGCGAGAACGTCTGGTCTCTGTCTTTGATCGAATCCAGGAGTATGACTTCTGCCTGAGGGTTGATAAATGTCAATTCGTCATTCGGTTGATCAAGTATTTCGGCCTCTTCTTCGATGCTAATTGCCGTCATCCTGTAGAATGGCTCGGACCTTTTCGGGGTCAGGATGACGGCAATTAGCATCGAAGACGAGGCCGAAATACTTGATCAACCGAATGAAGAATTGACATTTATCAACCCTCAGGCAGAAGTCATACTCCTGGATTCGATCAAAGACAGAGACCAGACGTTCTCGCAGTTCTTTTGGGGTGCGACCAATAATGAAGTGATCATGTAGGTACGCGGCGTATCCGGAATGCCATAGATTATGGCGTCCATCATCTGTTGGAAAATGGCTGGGGCAGTCTTGACACCAAACGGCAGTCTGGTGTACAGGAGAAGACCGCGGTGTGTGTTGATCGTCAGAAGCGGTTACGACTCAAAACCAACTTCGAGCGCGACGCGGAACGCTCAATGAACAATCCAAGTCGGGTACACGAATACGATTGGATACTTTCGGAATCGCTGCGCAACAACCGGGGACTATGGAAGTCGCACAGCCGACAGCAAATCCAACAGGTCCTCACCGCAGGTCAGGGCGCATCTTGTATGCGTTTCGGAGACACAGCAAATATTAACACCAAGAGAGTGAAGAGTGAAAACCAGTGCTGCCTGTTAACCGAGCTGACACAAAGTGCGGGGGTTAAAAGAACTAATGTGAAATGAGACACGTGGTTTGATGAACGAGCTACAAGTATCGATGGCAACAGCAGCGGGGTCATCGGTAGTTTCACGCGCAACAAGTGAAGAAGAAAAGAGTTGAGATGGGACGGAAAAATAAGGAGAGGGAGTATTGTCGACGGAGTAAAGAGGGCAGATTATACTCTCTGGCTGCCCATTCCGAGAGGGATTTTGTTTGAGGCGCCCTACCTCTAGTCTTTGGCTCAACAGTCTGACTCATAAGATAGTGAGAAAATTGGTTAGCTTGATGGACTCCATCCGGAGCATTTGGTTTAATAGCCAGACCCACTAGGCAGCGGGGAGCAAGTCAAGCTGGGGAATGTGATTGCACAGACCAATTGGGATCTGCCTGAGGTCTGTCACGCGCAGTCTTCGAAGATTTCAAATGATGCACAGATCTTTTACGATGGTATTAAGTTGCGCGCCTGTGATGATGGCCAGCCGCAGTTGGGAGTTGGCGGTGTTGCACCTATTTGACCAGCGGCTGCCTGGTTTGAGGCGGGCGGTAGCAAATTATTGAGCACCAGAATGTGCCCTTATACTGCCAGAGACAATGCGTAGCGTTCGTGTTCTTTGCCAATCGAGCTATGGGTTTACAACCCATAGACCTTTCGTTCCCCATGGCTAGATTTTAAAGGAAGAAGGCCATCGACCTTTTGCTAACCTCCGAAGAGAAGTGGATTGTGGGACTGAGTTGGTCTGACTCCTAACTATTGAACTGTCTGGTACGAGTGGCTCTTAAGGCACTTGGAAAGTGCACCCAGCATAGATCAATGGGTCACGGAGGCACGCAAACCCTCGCACTCCGTGATCCAACTGTATTTTAGTGTCTCCTGTGTTCATAAAGCATTCACGATAATAAAATATGGAGCGTTGCGACAAGGCGCCCAGGTGAAGATGACACAGACGTTACGTATGATACCCAAAAGTGTTCAACTCATCAACACAGGAACACTTAGCAGTTAGTACCTTGCCAAATTTGTGGTTAACCATATCCCACAGAGGAACCAAACACCTTTCTTTGACATCAGACATGATTTTTGGTAACGAATTGTTCCTCGTCATCACTGTGGACACAGCCCATCTGAAAAAGTGAACAGAATAACAAGAGCTAAGCCAAAAGATTATCAACAACGAACAGCAACACAAAGAGGACTTGCGAATGCGAGGGTCAGATAGTCTAACAAGTGCAGTTTACCTAATTCAAGATGCGCAGTGGTGTTGATATCGCAATGAGAAAGCCATTGGTAAGTTCAGCAGCGAACAAATGTTTCCGAGTAGTTACTAAGCAGGCTTATCACAGAGAGATGATCACTCCAGTCTGGAGCAGAAAACCATTTGGCAACGTTTTGTATTGCGCCCATGGCTAACCGACATATAAAACTTGGAGACTGTAGTCATTATTGATTAGATGGAAGCTCCCCTGAAAACTGAGGCATCTACAGAAGTTCACAGGAACGAACCAGGTGACATCGTTGCCGCTTCCGACACCGAATCGGGACGGTTAAATTTAACCATAGTTCCATAGTAAGGCAAGAGGCTCAACACCAGATTTTGATAGAGCCCGGCCAGAAGCCATCAATGTTAAAACGAAAGAGAGGCACTTCATTGAACCCAAATCAGACAACGAATCACATTCACGGTAAAGGGACAAAGCAGATGTAATTCGGATTAATAAATGGATCACGAGTACCAAACGGCGGTTAAGGTAGGTGCAATGGCTTGCACCGGTATGATGAGCGAAAAACTTGAGTAGGAAAAGACAAACGAAAGTGCAGATAAAACAGAGACAATGAACAAGCCTGACAAAGTAGTAGTGGATGAAAAGGCTAATAAGTGGATGCGAAAAAGGAGTATCGATGACACAGCAACTGTGTCGTGCCGGATACGGTTCCCAGACAGTGTCAGCATATTCTGAAGCTCATACTCGCCCAGTCGTCAGCAAACAGCATCCGGCTAGTTCTTTTACGCACTCGGGTTCTCGTTCCGAAATGAGGAATTTTCAGCAGCCCACCATTGAGACGAACACGGTATTAAGAAGAACTGGAGGCACAAGACATTATAGCAGTCAGCTAAATATGAAACCTGGTGGGAACTAAGACATGCCAGAAACAACACCAAAGCCATCCGAAGTATGTTTGTACATCTGCACATTCTCCCGCATGCCACAGTGGAGAGACATACAATAGGATTGAAAAAATTATCTGGACAAGTAAACTTAACCAAAGCCAACCCCAGTGTTTTGTGGTTTGTCGTGTTAAGGGGCTTGGTGAAGTCGATGAATACTGAGTACATTGGCTTGTTTCGCTCACGGCACTTGCTGCAACTAAACAGTCGTGAACACCATATCTATTGTTCCGCATCCCGAACGGAATCCCCACTGCTCATCAACCACGTTTGGTTCGATGAAACGAGTGACGAGGCGGTTAAGCAGGATTAGAGAAATCAACTTCCCGACGCAACTCAGCAAGTTGATGCCACGATAACTATCTCCACATTGCTTACTGTTGCCTTCTCTGTATGGTGATAGCACGAGAGCCTTCCTCAACTCAGCCGGAAACACTTCTGCAAACCGCACGCGTTCTACCAAGTGACGCAGCACATATAGCATTACGGGTTCACGATCCTTCAGCACTTCTGGTTGTGTCCCATCAGCACTAGCGCACTTGCCGTTTTGTAGCTGAGCAAGTGCTCCCTGCGTTTCTTGGAGTGTCACCAAGATCGTCCTTCACATTCTGTGGTTGTAGCCCGTAAAACCTGTCCAAGTCAATATCTGAACGGCTATTCAAGAGACAGGCGAAGTGGTTGTGCCACAGTTGCTTGAAATGTGTCAGCTGAACGCCGTAACGGCGCTTCGCTGCCGCGCAACCACCACCAGTCGCGCGCGGGCTGAATATACCGCGAGGACGCCCACCCCTACGCGGATTAGAACCGGTGACCTTATGGTTGCAAAGCAAACGCGCAGACCACTCGGCCACCGGCCGACAGTCTCTGTGCAGCCAGTAACCGAATTAGCGTCCACAGCGGCTGCAAGGTGGGCTCATAGATTGTCTCCAAAGAGTTATAGAACCACTTATGTTGGCAGCGCTTGGCACAGCATTCCATCTATCCAGCTTTCTCTGCCCACTGTGCATTTTCGATGCGACAGAGGGCCCAGATTTGTCGCCGAAGCATTTTGCGAAAATTACCAATCCTTTCCAAAGTGCCGGAATCCCCCACATGCGCAGCAAAATCTATTCTTCGCAGACACTAATGCGCCAATTGTCGCGCTGTTGTCATCAAATCAATCGAGGCGCTTACAATTTGGGCGTCGGATCGTTTTATCCACCGTAGAGGCCATATGTTCCGACAGGTGGTGCTATAGGGCGCTGACTGAATACATGGCAAGCCGCTTCTCTTCTCGCAATTGACCAGAGAACGAATACTAGACCACCGCCGGTTAACGGTAGAGGAATAACACAGAGAATTACGAAAAAAGATGTATAAGTTGGTGTGCACTAATTTGTGATCAGTTCCATGCTCAGCTCCGCGCGTTACACGCGTCGTGCGCACTTCGCGCAGGGCTTAAGTAATCTTTTGCATAAAACGAAATGAACAGCATTCCGAAAGAGAGAACAAAATGATTTCAACTAAACTAAAGTGGTGCGATAGTTTTACTGCTAAACCAACCAATGAGCTATCCTGCATGTGTTTTGTGCACCTTCAGAGCCACTGATACCAGTTTGCTCAATGGTCACAAGTCAGAGAAACAGGTTCGTTATTCAGACTGGGGGTTGGGTTGAAGGTGGCTAATTATTCTTTGATTCAAATATTCTGTAGCCTACTGCTAAATACCTGCCAGCCTCCTGACGGGCTTTTGAATCAAAAGCTTTGCCTGATAACTGATCGCTCTCCTGTCTAGGCGTAAGCAACATGGTACCACATGCCAATGCAATAAACTTATGACTTCGTCGGACAATAACTTAACGCTCTGATCGTCACAAGGCACTATCAAGGACGGTATATCTGCGGCATTGAACTGGCCGGATAGGATTGAACATGCTACTGGTCAGACTCCTGCTCCCTTTTACGATTTTACACTTTTATCGTTCCTTTTCAATGTCAGTACTGCCACCGCTTGTTAAGAGCCACAATTCCTGACAGTCCCCAAACTTGTTTTATCCTGTAGTTTCGAGTCGCGTGCAATTGCACAGCGTCATTCTAATTTTATCGATGACTCAATGTCTAACTATGAGGCAAACATTAGTTCATCCGACTCGATATGGAGCCCCCGATGCTCGCTAAGATTGGAATGCCTCCAGATATGTGCACCTTGTTGTAAACCGGTCAAGACGTAGCACGTGCCGCAACAGCAGAGGCTCTATCGACCGGTATCTGTAGCTTATCGGAAATGCAGTTGCAATATCCGAGCTGTGTTAAATCTACCATCCTTTTCACGCGACACCAGCGATACCCCCTCATTGCGTCAATCTGAAGATAACGCGGCTTCAATTGCCGGTCAAGTCGGTGTGGCTATTTCTCTGAATCCCCGAGCTTATGTTGTTCGCATCGATTGGGCCTCAAACAGTAGCCGAATATACGGCACCCCATCGGCTGGCTCGATCATGCAGGTTCTAATAAACCGAAAGAACTCATATAGCTAATCAGAAGTGACGGATGCGGAGACTGCGGAATCATGTTCAATGCGCTGTCAGCCCCATATCTACAGATGATTCTGTAGCCAGCCGCAACTAGTCAAAGAGAATTTTTTGTTCGTTCTTCAAATGCGTTACAGTAAACTACTCTGGAAAAACAGCTTATAGATGACGCAATATGGATAGTGCACATTCTTATATCAAAAAATGAGGAAATCACTCAGCATCGTTGTATGGCGGTCCGGATGGTACTCTGCCAACTCCATTGAAATACGGTGGTCTGGATACCCTTATTCGCTTGCAAAACACACACGGCTTATCAATGAGATCCAGTGTCTCACTGGAAACACGCCGAGGTTGTACCGAAGGACAAAAATGTTTTGAAACGGGGTGTAGCAAAGTACCACTCCATCAACTATAGTTGTATATCTCTTAAAGTTACGGAGAGGACTAGGAGGGTTGACGATAGTAAAGCTTAGATGATCACATTACTTAACATGCAAAACGCCCATCAAGACAGACTACTGACCATCCTATCAGGACGAGGACATTGCTGACCCTCTACCATCGTGGTTCCCTCCATACCTCATTGACAATCAAAACAGCCAAGGTAGACAACTACACCTCTTCTCGCAGCCCCATCACAGATGGCCTCAGACAAGGCAATGTACTGAGTGAAAGTGTCAAAAACGTTTGGGTAGTAAAGCAACGCGTGCTCTGCCGGGAACTCAACAAGAAGCAAAACCGGAACCGAGATAAAGGTGTTATTGGATAAAGTAATACTAGAAAAACAGGCAATACGATTCCCGAACTCAAATGTTTACAGAAGAGTAGTAGGGGGAGTTGAATGTTATGAATTGGCGGCTTAAGTTTGGTAATCTCGTCCCTTGGTGCGAGGGCTACCCTGTCCTCTGCACGGCAGTAACGTGTAAGTCAGCGGATGGTGAGCGGCGCTATATCACATCTAATAACTTATTCACGATGGTCGTTGCCGTCCCCCGTAGCTCAGTGGTCTCAACCACGGACTGGCAACAGTCGAGTTGCGGGTTCCAGCCCTACCAGAGTCCGATGGAATGCGCACTGCTGACGATTCCCGAAAGGTTGAAACGCAAGTACAGTGTTTTTCCGGGCGTGTGACGGCTATCTGAGCGAGTCTAGATGTGGCGAATTTCTACCTAGAACTCAAATGTACCCAAAAGTCCTTCAATGCAAAAGCAATCTCTGGGTCAAATCACTCAGGTCGATCCATGAACCAAAATACAGACAAATGATCTCGCACAGAGCGCAGGGAAAGATGCAAAGATGCGCAGACAGGTTGTGGCACCTGACCAATGGCGATGACCAATGCGGTTCTAATCAGATCAATACAAGATCGCCTCGTGTCAGGACACAACATAAGAATGGATGTACGAAGGATTGAGTGATGTCAAGATCAGTGGAAGTGAAACGTGAATGAATGAGGCGGAATTCGGACATACAGAGGTAGGGAAACGCCAAACCGCAATGTCAGTAACGAACAGAGTTCATGTAGGGGTTTGGCAAACGTAAATATTCAGGCAGACGAAGAACTCCGATTACACTGGGTCACTTCTATTTTTCAACAACACACGATGCTTTTGACATTATTTTCTATGAGAGGCCTTACATTTGTACAGATGGTGTGAAAGTTCAAGTGTATATGTATTTAACCTTTCAAGTGTGATACTAACCCAGACGCAGATGAACGTTTGTCATTAGATCCAAAGTTTTGCATTCCATGTAGGAAAATAGATCAGGCGGCATTAGAGGTGCAGTTTGAAAGCCTAATTGCTCAGACTAAAGATCTGCTTCCAACCTCATCAATTGAGCTGGAGAATCTAAAATCTAGCCTAGTTCATAGTTGTCATGAATAGGTTAAGACCAAACCATCTAGTAATAGTATTATCACTAGGGAACAAATCCAGTCACTTAAAAAGCTACGGTTAAACAACAAATTAATAATCTCTAAGCCAGACAAGGGCTCCGATATAGTGCTAATGGATAGGGTGGGTTATATCCATAAAATGCAGCACATCCTCAGTGACGAGAGTAAGTTTCAGAGGCTCATGGCAGGAAAAGACAACACAGGAGAGTTAGAGAAACAGCTGACCGGCTGCATCAGGCGAATGATGCAACCCAAAATCATCACAAAGAACGAATTCGAAAAGCTGAAGCCTTCAGGTGGACGCCTACCGAGATTATATGGCCTGCCCAAAGTTCACAAGGAAGGCGCCCAATGCGCCCAATCGTGAACATGGTGGGTTCTCAGCATTTGTTGGACCAGTGGATGGTGACGAAGCTGCAGCCGTTACGGAATTTGGTTCGCACTTACCGCGTGAGAGACACGTTCGAATTCATTGAGAGGATATCCGAAATCAACCTTGGTAACAAAAGGATGATATCATTCGATGCCCAGTCGCTGTTCACAAACAATCCATTGCTCGAAACCGTGGATTATGTATGCGAGCTTGCTCGGCAACTGCTCATATCGCAAGATTTCCGGAGAATTTGCTAAAGGAGGTGCTACTTCATTGCATGTTAAACGTTCAGTTCACCCTCGATGGTGAAATGTACCGTCAGATTGACGGAGTGGCCATGTGAGCTCCTTTGGGGCCGCTGCTGGCTGATATTCTCATGGCGAAATTGGAACATGGCCCACTTGCAACGCACATCCGTGAAACCGAAATGTACTTACGGTATGTTGACGACACCTTCGTACTTTGCAAATCGGAAAAGCATGCGGAACAGTTGCTGAAAGCTTTCAATGACGCACACGAGAATCTCCACTTCACTTGTGAACACGAACGCGGAAACCGGTTACCTTTCTTGGGTGTAGAGGCTATGCAGCAGAAAAGTACAAAGAAAGCACACATGGACTGGGCAGTACACTAACTTCCACAGAGCAGTACCTCTACAGCATAAGCGGAGTTTAATCAAATCTCTCGCCTTCAGGTCGCGCAGTATTTGTACACCAGATATCGTCAACGAAGAACTACAGAGAATCAGCGATGCGCTCAGGGAAAATAGCTATCCTGGTAAATTTCTCATGAAGCATTTGAAGGAACGCAATCGAAGGCCACCTAGGAGCATTGATCCTAAGAAAGAGCTTTTCATACATATACCATTTAAGGATAATTCTGCAGATGATATGTTATCCCAACACCTGAAAGATGCTGTTGAGAAAACTTATTTCGCAGTCCGTCTGAGAATCGTTTTTCACAATAAGCCATTGCTTCCAAAACCCACATATCGTGCACCACAGGTGCACTCACTACCTGAACACCTCTCCCGAGGATTCCGCAAACAGCTCTTATCCATCACCGAGGCTATCTACTTTCACCATCTGAAGCCGGAATTATGTGTACAAAAACGGTTCATACGGCCGATACTACTACCTTGGTTAACGGACACTGGTACTTAATTATTTGGTTGTTATCTTACCTACTTAATTACTTTGGATTACTGAACTTTGCGTATGCATGTTTATTTAGTTTACTTGGTTTACCATCTCTATCTCTGTCTAAAGTTATCGATTTTGATCATTCAAACAGTCCAGAAGTCAATCCCAGTCCGAGTTGACGCTTTCACCACAATCATTGTTATGTAAAGGTTTGGGTCCGATGAGAGTTTACTGAAAAGAACTCTTCACCCTGAACTGATTTCTGATATTGATATATTAAGAAAATGAAGGCTCTCACTTCGAACCGGGTTTGGGTTGGTGTCTCCCGGCTACCGAGTTGTAGTCCCAAAAAAGGTGAACATATTCGGCTGAAGGCACTCTATGATCTAGTTGAGAACCGATCCTAGTGACTCAAATTGTGAATTTATTTTCCTCCTTTAACTACCATCTCATTGTTGATGTATAGTAAAAACAAAGTATGCCATTTTTGGCATAACAATGTGATTGCTTTGTACTGAAGAACAGCAACTATAATATCTTCCATTTATACTTAGCGTGTAAAATGATGAATGGGTGATTCACGAGTGTACTGGTGAGCAAAACAAGTCAAGAAATACGGGAGATTGAAAGCCCGTGGAAAAGGAAAACAAACCTGTAATCTTCGAAGCAAAACGCCGAAGCAAATGGTAGATGACTGTTTTGCAATCGGTTAAAAAAATAGGCATATTGTCGACAGATAAACTGAAAATTGAGCACCGCCATCTCTATACAATGTAGTAAAAAGCGTAGTAGTATACCTAAAGCCTTTGAGCCACGCAGATATCTCACATCGTCCGGAGTCATGTACAAACATGTGCGATATGAGACGGGCAACGCACCTGAATGGACGGTTTATAGTAAAGATCAACTAACGAATAAAGAGGTAAAACGGTGATTCTGTCCAGCTGAATAGATCCAAGAGTAATCTAAGACTAAGTCTGACGTTCTCCATCGTAGAAGCGATTGGGTCTGTTTTAACGAAATCATCTGAAGGTACATATTGAAACAAAATGGTGACATACTGAAATTTTCACATTGGCTGGTAGCATCCAAAATATCTGATCTAGGAATACGCAAAATGCATTCACCTTCCTTCCAATCTCATACAAGTTTTAAAAACCTTACATTTATAGTCGCCTCAGAAAGCAACCCCAACTCAAGTGAATCGAACAGTCCAACGGAAACACGGCACTCCAAACATCTAGTTCGGCTAGATAGAAATTCGTTCGCCAAAGTTAGACGATCAGACGATTGATTTTTCAGACGATTCAGGATGCAGTACTCTGGTTCATAGAAAAGTAATGCAAGATGTTACTTTGTTGTATCGCAACCAATTCCTCGATGAACGAATAAAGAGTGGAGAACACATGGACGCCATTGTTCTGGGTGACCTTCGATTCTAAACAAACTGGATATTGAAACGGTAGATAATGTTTGAGGGGACTTACACTTCATCAACTGTTGAGAAATAGCCGCGCTTTTGTGCTTGACATGCTTGGGGAACAAGCACTGGTTTGTGCGATGAGCTACACGACTACAATGCATACCTGTGCAGAACAGGCAGAACCACAGCGAGAGAAAGAGGGCTAAATAAAAGAACCGACGAAAACACTACTACAGAAGACCAGACTGAAGGGCAAAAAAGACAACCATAGCAGAAACAGTGAATGTGTACTGAACGTAATATGTGACGATGGAGACAAAAAAAATTATGAAAATATCCATCGTAGCTAGATTCGTCATGCAGAATGGGGCTAGAATATAAAGGCATCAAAGGATGTTTCCTTTACATTAGTAAAGGAGCTACGCATTCAAGAGCGGTGAGTTAGAGGAAGTAAGACATGTTCAACTAATAAGGGTACAAGACAATGATATTAGCATCCAATTGCAGTGAACCAGGTCACCATAGCGATAACGATAGCAATTACTGACGGGTAGGGAGTCTAAGCTGTGAATCACTCGGGAATTAGGGACGACCAACGCTGGTACCTGATGGGAAAAAGCTGTATGCAACCGAGCGCGTCTCCAGATTGCGAATAGCATAGTGATCGCCCTTGGTAGTTAGCAAGACAAGTAAGTTTCGGTCTGTCGAATAAGTAGCGGCGATACCCGGTGACATCGCGGGTTTTCATCTGGCAAGCGGTCTACATAGAAGCCACAATAGCACCAGCAGTAACAACAGCATCACATCAGCCATTCTAACTGATACTTCACTGCCGTACAATCACAACGACCTATGGAACGAAGAATAATAATAGGGAGAGAAAGTGGACCTACCAGAAAACCTTAATGCCCTAAGCAAATTTACAGAGTCAAGGCAATTGCACTCAGTGAAGAACATACCATCACAAACAGTTGTATATCGTGCAAAGATAAGGTGGCATCGGCGAGACAGCTTCCTTGGGGCTTTGACTGCCCCGCGTCATAATCAACCATTACCCCGCAGACAACAGCAAACACACTTTAAACAAACAGTCCGACCAGGAGAAGACAGCAGACACTCCACTGACGCTGACTGCGAGCCATGTCCTGTAACGTCCCAAGCCAAGCACAAGGCGGGTCACGTGGACGCCAGCACGGAGGGCGAGACGGACAGACGGCGCCGAGTTTGGTCGTCAATGACCTCATTTCCCGCTGCCAAGCCAACGTTTGTCCACCTCGAGTCTTGAACCACCTTATAGCTGGCAAACAAAACAAGGCCCTCCTTGGAAAGCGGTGACTGGCCATACGTAGAACGTGCCCAAGCCAACTCAACGAATTCAGTGCTATCCGTTGTTCTAAGGAACTAACTTGGTTTTCGCTGCCTAGCATTCGCCTGTGAACGTCATTGTTGCGCACACGCTGGCGCCATCCGACATCAGCAAATGTCCCGCAGACAACGATTATCCAAGACTTGAAGGCACCTCAAATCCTCAGATCGAAGGGTCCAAGTTTCACTCCGATAGAATATGACTGCCTACACTGTGGACTTGTAAACACGGCCTTTTAGACCGAGGGAAACTCCGTTTAGACGCCAAAAATGTTGCAGATTCAAGAAGGCAGTTTTGGGTTTTGCAATAAGTAAACTAATTTCAGTCGGTATGGGCCAATATAAGTGAATTGATCAACTACCTTGAGTTCCACACTATTAAAGGTCATCAAGTGGATGGTGGCCATGCAGTAAAAGTTTGCACTTTGAAGGTTCGAAGCGTATACCAAATAATGGGACCACGCTGAAAAGGTTAGTTATGGTTGATCGGGCCGCACCGACATCGTTAAACAGCAGGACAAGATCGTATACATTATTAAGATCAACTACTTTTTCATCAGGCAGCACCTCAACGCCCGCATCGTAAGATTCCGTAAGGAAACATTCCATGAAGGAGTGCACGATGAAATTGAACAAAAATGGAGAAATTGGACAAATTTTATGAACGCCACTTGTTGCCGAAAAGATATCCGTTAAGTCTCCGTAAACCCTGACGCGGCCTGTAGTGTTCGAGTACACGGCACGTAAATGGTTCACATATTTCAAGGGAACACCTTTCCGCGCATATATTTCGAACAGAATCCATCGATCGACTGAATCGAAGGCACTCTTGAAATCAAGGAGCACAGCTATTGTCGGTCTGCGGTACGCGTGTCGCTGCTCTAGCGCCTGCCGCAAAGTGAACATGTGGTTTATACAGCCCCGTCCTGGGCAGAAACTTGCCTGCTGTTCCCAAATCCGGGATTCGCATTCTGCAGTGAGGCGACGAACGAGGATCGATGCCAGTTATTTGGTCACAACTGGCGTTAGGCTAACACCCCTGTGGTTAGCACAGTCGGTGCAACTGCCATTCTTGTATGTTGTCACTATAATCGATTCACTTAAGTTAGCTGGAACGGTGTCTTCCTCCCAGACATGTTCGAACAAGGTCTGTGCTTTGCAAAGGACCTCGCCATCCTTCTTGAATAGTGCAGGTGGGAGGGATTGCCTTGAGGACCTCAGGTTCAGATGGATCCTCTAAACTAATCGGTCATGGGTCATCCTGTATCACCTGAGTAGGAAGAAGTCCGAAATCATCAGCATCAGCATCATCAACAGCAGTACATCAGCCATTTGAACTGATGCTTCGCTGCCATACAACCACGATGACCTATGAAATAAAGAATAAGAAGAGGGAGAGAAGGGGGACTTACCTGAAAACCTCAATGTCCTAAGCAAACATTCAGGGTCAAGGCGCCTACACCTTATGTATACAACATTCCGTCACAAATAGCTGGCTATCGTGCAAAGATAAGGAGACATCGGCGAGACAGCTTCCTTGCGGCTTTCACTGACACGCGTCATAATCAGCCATCACCCCGCAGATAACGCAGCATCAAACATAGTTTAAACAGGCAAGCTGATAAAAAGACGGCAGCAGACGCGCCACTGGTGTCGGCTGCGAGCCATGTCCTGCAAAGTCACGAGCCAAGCACAAGGTAAGTCACGTGGACTCCAACCCGGAAGGCGAGACGGACCAGCGGCACCCAGTTTGGTCGTCAGTGACTTCATTTCCCGCTGCCAAGTCAACTTCTGTCCACCTCGAGCCTTGCGCCATCCTACACCTGGTAGACTGAACGAGGCCCTCCTAGGTAAGCGGTGACCAGGCATGCGTAGCACGTGCCCGAGCCAACGCAACTTATTCAGTGCTACCTGTTGTTCTAGCGTGCTAGCATGATTATCACCACCTAGTACTCGCCTGCGCACATCATCGTTGCGGACACGCTGGTGCCGTCCGACACAAGCAATGCTTCGCAAACAACGATGATCAAAGACTTGAAGGCGCCTCAGTTCTTCAGATCGAAGGGGCCAAGTCTCACTACCATACAGCAGAACGGCCCTCACTGTGGCCTTGTATACACGGCTTTTCAGACGAAGGGAAACTCCCTTCTGTCGCCAAGGATGACGCAGATACAAGAAGGCAGCTCTGGCCTTTGCAATGCGTGAGCTCACGTCAGTTTCTATGCGCCCATAATTGCTGATGCAGTTGCCAAGGTAAGTGAAATGATCAAGCACCTCGAGTTCCTCGTTAGCATTGGGCAAGGGGTCATCAAGTGGCTGGTGGTCCTGCAGCAACACTTTGCTCTTTGAAGGTCCAAAGTACATACCAAATAATGGGACCACTCTGGACAGGCTATTCAGGGTTGATTGGGCCGCCTCAACATTGTCGAAAAGCAAGACGATATCGTCCGCATAATCTAGATCAACTAACCTTTCACCAGGCAGCACTTCAACGTCTGCATCGTGAGATTCCGTCAGGGAACACTCCATGATAGAATGCAAGACGAAATTGAATAAAAACGGGGAAATCGGATAACCCTGCCGAACGCTACTTGTAGTCGAAAAGCTATCCGATAGGACACCATAGACCCTGACGTGGCCTGTAGTGTTCGAGTATAAAGCGCGAGGGATGTTCACATATTTCATGGGAACACCTTTTCGCGCAAGTAATTCGAACAGAATCGATCGATCGACTGAATCGAACGCACTCTTGAAATCGAGGAACACAGCTATTGTCGGTCTGCAGTATGCGTGGCGCTGCTCTAGCACCTGCCGCAAAGTAAATATATGGTCTATGCAGCCACGTTCTGGACGTAAACCGGCCTGCTCTTCCCTAATCCGAGATTCCCGTTCCACAGTGAGGCGACGAACGATAATCGAGGCCAAGAATTTTGTCACAACTGGCGTTAGGCTAATACCCCTGTGGTTAGAACAGACTGTACGACTGCCCTTCTTGTATATTGCCACTATAACCGATTCGCTCCAATTAGCCGGCACACTCTCTTCCTTCCAGATACATTAGAATAAGCAGATCAATGCTTTTCAGAGGATCTCACCTTCATCCTTAAATAATGCAGGTGGGAGGGAATCCGGGCCAGCGGCACGAAAACGATTGAGGGCTGTGATCGCGTTCCGGACCTCCGCCTCCGACGGAGGCACTAAAC